TTTTCCCAGCCACCATCAGTTCTGAGGAAGGGTCACCGGACCCGAAACGTTAACTCTGTTTTCTCCTCCACAGATGCTGCCAGACCTGCTGAGCTTTTCCAGCAACTTTGTTTTTGTTCCTGATTTACAGCATCCGCAGTTCTTTTGGTTTTTATTAGACTAACTGAGATCCTTTAGGGAAATAAAGAAAATACTCTCTCAGCAAAGCCTGAGAGCAATGCCTGAAATACTTTTTCAAAACGAGGACAATAGAATAGAGGAGTCAGAGAGATCCCAATTACTGTCATCATCTGAGCTAAAGATGCAGCTTAAATAGGAGTATAATGTAAATTTTAAAATTAGACAAGTTAAAATAGAATCCCAAAGACATAACGGTGACAAAAAAAAAATTTGAGCTATTTATTTTTACTGACCTAGGTGTTGTTATCTTTTGCCCTTTGGAGGACACAGCTGTAGAGCGTGCATTTTGTGAACCAGAACCAAATGACACTTGAGATGCTGCTAAAATGAATGAAGAGGCAAGATGATTTTCAATTAAGCTACTGCCAGTATTCCACATACAGGACAAATTCTGCATTTTTGTCGATTTTATTGTTATTGTACAAAAACAGAAGTGTACCACACCTTAATAAACTGTTTCAATTTAAGGTTCTGTTGGTGAGTGATGATGTAGGGTGAGCTTTACAAATCAAAAGTTCAATTTCCACTTAAGTTAACTAATCCTAATGTGATGATGATGATAATAATGTTTTAATTAGTGTCACTGCCCCAGAGAAAGATTAAGCAGGGTTTCCATTCCTGATTGCAATTCAGAGCGTTCTGTGGCAATATGCTGCATAAGGTTACAATATCTTTGAATCTGTGATGCAGATCTTTACATGGGTGTGTGTGTTAAAGATGTGAAATAAAGAAAGACAACAGAAAAATGTTTACAAATGCATAGTTTGATAACTTTCAGAGAATCGTTCACTCTGTGAATGCATCATGTTTCATTGTCAGTCTCAGGTGCCACTCATTCCAATGGGTGACGTACAATCAAGTCCCAAAACAAAAAGCAGTTATAAAGCAAACCTGTTACAGAAGTCAAATTTATTTACAACTTTAGCTCAAGTAATGGTAGATTTTCTTTTGGAGAGTGGGTGACTCTCCAGTAATATTCCCATTCCTTGTGTTTTGTTTTCAACATTGTCAGAGAATACTTGAACATTGATTGTACAGCCAATTTTCAATCTGATATCTACACATACACGCACTAAAGCTGGAATCACTGTGCAGTTAATTTTTTTTTTGCTGCCCACCCAAGCCCAGGTGTGTTATGACCAGTTCCACAATTTATAGTAGTGGCAATCATTTTTCTATGCTTTTCAATAAGTATACTAATCAAAGGGGAAACTGGAGTACATCCACCCTATTGCCCAGATACTACCCCTTTTATTCATTTGGCAACTGGTGCTGGAAACAGAAAGGATTCCATTCTGTATTACCTTTAACTGTAGATATATCATCAGCTGTTTCAAGGTCCGCATCAGGTAACACTTCCGATTTATGGACACTGCAAGTTATAATTTTTTGAACAATACAATATTACTACATATTCAATTCCAAATCCAGAATTGTAGCATTGCATTATGGAAGTCCAATATTTGACACAGTGGGCAGGTGCCAACTACTTGAAAGGGCCATCCACTTTGTTCAATTCCATTGCCACTCCCTATTTCCTTTCACAATTTTCACTTTCAAATATATATGCATTTCCTTTCTAAATTGATTCTGTCCCAACTGCCGTTTCTGATACGTTACTCCATATAACTCTTTGCATGAGGGAGAAATTTGTTAACGTAGCATCACTTCCGGCAGTGCTAGACACTGCAATGAAGTCACACAAGTTTCCTCATTGATAGTGATGAAGAATACTGAGCAACCTATTGAAGTAGGCTGTGCATTGATACTCAAAATGTCACTACCTGAATGAGTTTTCCCCTCCAACCTTCCAAATTCTCTAAAGAACATCTTCTGTTCTTTTGGTAATTATCTTAACTTTGTGTTCTCTAGTTACCAATTCACAATGTCCCAATCTCTCAATTTTGAGCACCTCAATTAGACTTCCTCTTAACCTTTTCTATTCTGCTGAGAAGAATCTTGGGCCAGATTTTGCTGATAGAAGCAGTTCAAGACATAGGTGGGTGAGGATAGATAATGGCATACAAAACCACAAACAAAAACAGAAGTTGCTGGAAAAGCTCAGCAGGTCTGGCAGCATCTGTGAGGAGATATCAGAGTTAACGTTTTGGGTCTGGTGACCCTTCCTTAGAACGGATAATGGAATACAGGCTGTGTGCTGCTGTCCCACCTCTGTTCCTGACCCAAGCCATTTTCGGGAGAGAAAACCATTGGGATGGTGGGCTAGTGAACTCATTCACAGCAATGGTACATCAATTAATGCACTTAACAAGTTCATTGAGAGATTATATCTGAAGCTTCTCATCCCTGGTATTGTTTTAGTGCTTTTCCTTTTCTTCATGGTTATGAAATCCTTCCAAAGACAACATGAACTGGACTCATCTCCCTTCCACTCCCTTGGTGACATGTCCATCCTGGGCTTCCTCCAGTGTCACAATGATGCCACCTGGAAACTGGAGGAGCAGGAAAGCTGACGTTTCGGTTTCTGAAGAAGGGTCCAGTCCCGAAACGTCAGCTTTCCTGCTCCTCTGATGCTGCCTGGCCTGCTGTGTTCATCTAGCTGTACACCTTATTATCTCAGATTCTCCAGCATTGGCAGTTCCTTCTATCTCTGAATGAACTGGACTCAATCATCTAAACTCAGCCTAATCTTTGATTTCAAAAAGTTTAGTATTGTTGCTTTACTTTTTTATAAAAATTAGGATCCCACACACTCAATTTACAGATTTATGAACTTAGCCTTCTACTTGTGTATCTCAATCCAACTGTCTGTGCTGCCCCAAACATTTTAAAGTTTTACCATTTAGAATATATCTTTTTTAATCTCCTGAGAGAATGAATCACCCCTCATTTTCCTGCTGCAAACTTTACATTAGTCCAATTCCAATTTCCAATCCAGCTCTGTCTACCTGAGTCATCTAAAGTGCACTTCACTTAACTACATTTCTTGTCTTCGTATTGCCATCGCCGTTAAAAGTTTGATTTTATGCTTCCTCCATCCAAACCTGTGATGTAGGTTATACACAGAGACATATACATAGGGTTGGCCCAACCCTAACCCACAAAGGAATTTACATGTCTTTTTATGTATCTCCAATTCACAACACAGCCATTACCAATACTTCCTGTTTTCTGCCATTTTGTCAATTTATTAACCATCTTGTCACAAGCCTCTTAATACCACATGCCTTAATTCTATCTAAAAGTCTACAAATATATTATTGGTTAAAATCTTCTTATCTAATGCCGTTTTAAAAATCTCCAACTTGTCCATAATCAATACACTTCACTATTTTCTTGAAGATCAGATACAATTTATCACTTACACTGGTTGTCCTTAATCAACCTACCTTTCTAAAGACTTAATTAATGACTTAATTTTGTATGATAATGTCTACCATATTCCCAATGTTGGTCTGACTGGTCTATATCATTTTCTTTTTTACCTTTTTGGGCAAAGATGTTACATTGACAATTGCCCTATCTTCTGACACAATTTCCAAAGCCAAGGACATTCAAAAGATTTTGGTCCAGTGTTCCTGGGATGGAGAAGGGGAAATAGCCAAAGCTCCCTTTTTGATTATTATCCAGCTGCCCATAGTAAAGGTACGGACGGTTTCAAAGATTGAATGACTTCAGCAGCCACCTCAAACCATACCAAATACAGTATTGAATAACTTTATTCATGTAATGAAAGAGATATTAAAACATTCAATACAGATAAAAGGATGATTATCTCATTTCTGCAACAGTAGAGTGACCTGTGTATGCCATTCTCCCTTTTACATTTGGCACTGACTACCATTCCCTTTTCCCTGCCGGATTGTGTAATGTAATATAAAGAGTCAGGAAGTATAAAACCAACCAGCAATGTACGTTTAATTTTGTGGGTCAGGGAACTTTAACCCAATGGAGAATCGGTAGGGTGCGCATTTCTAAAGTTCTATGTTGCGATCAGTTTCCTGCTCACGCCAGTGAAAGCATTAAGCCATCTTTACTTACTGTAATATTTCTTTGACGACAGTAACAGCCACATCTTCAGTGGGGACTTTTCCCTTTCTGGTGGGCAGCAGCAGATTCTCATTTATTTTAGTCTCCCTTGTCTGAAACTCAACATGAGCGGCTGTGGCAATTTGCCCTTGGAGGGGAACTTCTGTTATGACTGAATCCTAGGAAGAAAACAAATATGAGAAGCCTAGCAGTTCAAATAGTTTACAATGGACAATTTCAGGCATTTGGATTGATTAACATTGATGAAGGCTGTGGTCAGTGCATTAAAGTCATTTTTATATCCCATACAAAATTGCGAATGTGAACCATATGCCATTGGTGCTGAACTTGCCCTATTTTTATTGCAGGGCGAGGATCATACTTACTAAGGTGGTACAAAAGTGCTGCAACCAGTTGCAGTTTATCTTTGATCCAGCATGATGACTAGAGATATCACTACCGAAGAGGATCTTGACTGTGAGGGGGTTAGTAGAAATGGTGTATTAAAGGTGCTCTGTACTGAAATTACAATGACCACCATCAGCAACCACACCCTTGCTTGAAGGCTGTTATTAAGTGCCAATACAAGGGTAACGATGTGTGCCTGACGCAATGGTTGAGTTGCATGGACTGTGCATCTGTTCAACAGTAGTCTGACCTCACTGGAAATCCCATGGCCTGTTCATTTTAATAAATTCTTCATGTTCTCTGTACACATTGGAGCATGAAAAGAGACCATGCTGATGATGAAGGTTGAGTGATATTTCTTACAAGGCAGCTTTCAACGGATCACTGCTTAAACCGAAAGGTGATCTACAAGTGCCAATGCACCAGGTAGCAATGTGCTGGTGGGATGATTAGAAAACAAATAATTGGAAAGGGTTCATAAAGGAGAAAAGAAGTGCAGTAATCAGGATGCAGGAAAACTATTCCAAACATCAAGAGCAAAATAACTTGTAATTCAGTAACAACAAATGGTGTAAAATACTTCCGCGGATGCTACTTGCAAAGGCTAGGTCATGTCTTTACTTCAGTCTCATTTCATAAGTTTAAAATCTAACAGCACAAACTGAAGCTTAAATCTAGGGCTTTTCTGTTCTCAGGTTCATTACCACTTAAACCTTGAAATTTACCAAGTGAGGTTATCAGGTAATGTTTTCAGCAAAAACACACAAATACAGTTCACACTTACCACCAAGCAGTTGAGATAGAGAGCCCTCTTTTCCATAAGGTCCTGGATAATCTTGGAGAAGTGATACAGTTCCTTAGGCAGCACAACCTGGAGAGGGGAGTGTCACAAATATATTACTTACAGTAACTGAAATCACATGAATGAGTCTATTTTTGCTGTCTCTGCTTTAGAACGCTAATAAAAATGATCAGGCGAAGCCTTATTGTGGAGGCAGGTGTCTCATCAGGCATTTAGAGAGCCAGCAAGAGACCTCTTCCTGGCAAGGATTGCCATATCCAAGGCTAACCAAACATTGGCGAGATCACCGGCAGCTCAATGCCCTGAATTTAGACGCTAGGCACAGTTGTTGTACTTTTGGGTTGCTCTCCTGCAACCATATTGAAAATGCACAAAGTGTAAAACTGCAGCAGCAAGTTCTAGGGATGATCTGAGAAAATTTAGGTATTGGTGGTGATAAAAAGGGGTAAAAATATTTAGTACAAAAGCAAAGGTAAAATCACAGATTGATCTGTAGATAAAGAGTAAAACTTTGCAAAAGAGGAGCTAATTCCAGTAGAAATTCAACTCACCTCTTTGTCCAGATTGGGTCGGGCACATGCATCTATTTTTCTTTCAAACTGTTCAAGATGGGAAGTTATATTCAGGGTATGGCTGTTGCTGAGGGCAACCTGCAACACGGTCATATCAAGTTAGAATGAAGATTATTTTCATAAATTGCATAAAAGTCTGCAGGGTAAATTATATGATTCTGTACTGCAGACACATTTTCTTTTGATGCTAAGAACGGGAAAATCATGGAAAATGCAGATTGAGTATTTTAATCCCTGGGCTCAACACATGTTGCCATTGAACATAATTCCAAAATTAACTCATAACCTTATTACTATTAATTATAAGGCATGGCAAATCACTAATATTCCTCTAGTACTTGGCTGATATCTACAGTGCAAGTTCATTACAATATGGATGTTTGGGAGCAAAAGGTTATGTTATGGGTGGATCACCTTAATAAGAAGACACTTATTTTCTCCTATTTTTAACTAAAGAAAAGTTTACCTCTCTTGGGGGTCAAGAGACTGCATGCTATGAGCAAGTTTGCAGTACGTTAACCACAGTATATCAAACTTCCACTGTATATCCTGTTTGAAATCACACATTCTCCAACTCCTTGTCGCAATGTTTGGTCATGCATTTATCTCAACATTTAAGATTTGAAACTGCCTACATAAACATTTAGAATGTAAATCCTGTATGTAAACAATCACCAGTGATTTTGAGCCTGAAAGCTGTAGCTTGTAGATCTCTATGGAGCAAGTTTCTGAAACCTGTGTTACTATAGGTAGTCCCTGGGCTGCCAACAGGTTCTGTCCCTGAATCGGTTAACAAATTGATTTGTATTTAAGTCAGAACACAATGCAGGACAATATAAAGCAGCTGCTCGTGAGCACAGGAAATGATCATATAGAGTCATAGAGCTGTACTGCATGGAAACAGACCCTTTGGTCCAACTCGTCCATGCCATCCAGATATCCTAAACAAATATCATCCCATTTGCCAGCATTTGGCCCATTTCCCTCTAAATGCTTCTTTTCATATACCCATCCAGATGCCTTTTAAATGTTGTAATTGTACCAGCCTCCTCCTTCGGCAGCTCTTTCCATGCAGGCTCCAGCCTCTGTGTGAAAAATGTTGGATATTTAAAATTACACTCCTGTACGCAAACGCATTCATAAGTACGGACATTTGTAAATTGTAGCCCCCTGTACCATGGATATAATACACTTATATTGATTCACAGTGTATGGGCAGACATATCATTTCAAAGAATAAATGGAAAGCGGTCCTGAGTTTCATTTTCAATCCTATCCACCATCGTTAAACCTGGACAATAGTGGACAGCATTTTTCAGTCTGCAGAAGAAAACTTCTTTTGGTCATTGTGGGTACAATTTTAACCAGAGCACCTGTTGGATGGAATGAGAAAAGATGACTGTGAAGTGTAATTCCTGACTAAAGCTTCAGGCCAGATGTATTTTAACTCCCAAGCTTCATGTAAGTGCTATTACCAAAACACGCAATGTGATAGGGGTGTAAGTGGTGAGGAAGAAGGGTGGTTGCTCCAGTTAAAGATCAGTCCTTAACAGACCACTGGTTTCTAAATAACTGGTGGGGAAGTCGGCTTTGAGAAGGTTTCCTGCTATGAGTGGCAGGATGAAGAATTCCCAGACAATGGCGTTTGTAAATCTCCCTTTGGACCCAGACTGACCTCTGGCTCCCACAATGCCAACCTTTTGCTTATCTGGAGGGCTTCATCATCTCTTGCACCAGCCTTTCCAAGCCTAGCAGAAATGCTGTGGTGCCTTTTCTGTTCAGCTCCAGGTCATAATGCCTCCTGGGTACTTTAATCCTTGTAGGGATCCCAAACAGTATTTACACGTGAGACTGTGGCCTCCTCCACCAGGAACAAAAATACAGTGCTCTTCAAATAGGAGATCACTGAGCACAAAAAGGGGGATGGGGCACCAGGAAGAGTCAAAATTCTCCCTTTTGTATTAATGGTGTGTAAATTTAACAGGAGGGTTTCCCTGTGTTAGGGCCTTTCTAGCAAAATTGCAAAAGCTATCTAAAATAAGAGGTTTATGATTTCATCAAACTCATTGGACCCTACCAGACATCCATAAGTGCACCGACTAGTAGGAGAGCTGTCAGGAACAGGAACCATTAAAGCATTCTCTTTCTAGCTGCAGAAGAATTTCTAACATCTCGAAAGCTACCCTGGCTGAGATTCATGAATGCAGCACAAATGAGAGATAATACCAGGGCTTGTCCTAGGCTCACTCAACAAGCAGACAAGCTATTGATATGTTTTCTCCTGCTTTTTCTGAAGTAAAATCTGTTGGTGCAGAAAGACTGTTTAAATTTGATTTTCACAACATTCCTGCTTAAATAGGAATGACTCAGAAAAACTTCTCTTACCTCAATTTTGATTTTTGTCTGAGTGTTAGTCAGAATTCGTTTAATTTTCTCAATGAAGATCAAATCCAATGTGTAACGCATATATTTGTCTTCAGTCTCTTTGATCACTGCAGTAGACTTGTTGAAAGAATGAACAAAAGTAATATATTCAATACCAGACTATGATTCACAATTCCTAAGACTTTCTTTACAAGAATAATTGATAATCTGCAGGGTGCATAATGATAAAATAGAGCTGTCTACATCCATAAGTTTAAAGTGACACTTGCAGATATACTGCAGAACAAGAAGGTTCCTCCTTTTGCTTCAGATGCTGACAGGTCTACTGTGCATTTCTAGCATTTGCAGTTTTTCTTTTTATTTATACTGCTTGATTAGCATTTGACAGGCATGTGCCAAATGCTGTATGTGGAGGGCGATAGCCCAGGTACTTCATGTGTACATCTAAAGTATGCAGAACGGGTGAATCGTGATGCTAGTAAACGTTGATTTAACACAAGAACTGCCGTTTTGGTCCTTGCTGCTTCAGTTAATGCTCTCTAAAACTAGCATAACTGACCATACATCCAGCTTACTTCTTCAGGGACTGCTGGTAGACATTTGAAAAGTATTTTGTGCTTTTGAAAGGTCTCTGAATGCATACTGTGGTTCCTGTCATGGGGATTATAGTTATAGTTCCTCTTACATTACAGCATGAGATTAAAAATGGAGCAGAGAGAGAGGTGACAAGTTGACAATTGAATTCGTGGTTCAAGAAGGCAGTTCACCACCGTCTCCTTGAGGGCACCTAGGGATGGGCAATAAATGTTGGTCCAGCCAGTGACGCCCACATCCCATGAATGAATCGAAAAAACAAGATGTCTTCGAGGGGATGAAGACAGATCTCAGTAGAAGGTGATCATTTTAATTTTTCAAGCCAACGTCACACTTAACGTGGCTGGAGTAGTATGTGAGGCATGTGGTAGTATTGCTGGGATTTTCCAAGTAACAGAGAGGCCAAAGCCTAAGCATTCCATGAGTACAGCAGAAGTATGCAGAGCAGGCAGCTCATGATGTTAGTTGGCACCAAATGCTGATTTAGCACACACAGAGCCACTTTGATCTTCACTATTTCACTTAATGCCCTCTCAAACTAGTATGGGTGACAATGCATGTGACTGCAGGAGGGGCCTGTCCTGCTAACACTTTAGGGCATTCACTCACTTGACAACAAAATGGAGGTCATCAAATTTCTTGCAGCATTACATTCATATCCTCAATGCCACACCATTGGCAACTAGCAGAGCCAAATGTTCCCACTGCTACATAGACACATAGAAGATAGGAACAGGAGGAGGCCATTCAGCCCTTCGCGCCTACTCCACCATTCATCACGACCATGGCTGATCGTCCAACTCAACAGCCTAATCCTGCTTTCTCCCCATAACCTTTGATCTAGCCACCTCTTGAATCCATTCAATGTTTTGGCATCAACTACTTCCTGTGGCAATGAATTCCACAGGCTCACCACTCTTTGAGTGAAGAAATGTCTCCTCATCTCTGTACTAAATCATCTACCCAAATCCTCAGACTGTGACCCCTGGTTCTGGACACACCCACCTTCGGGAACATCCTCCCTGCATCTACCATGTCCAGTCCTGTAAGAATTTTATAAGTCTCTATGGGATACCCCCCTCATTCGTCTAAACTCCAGCAAAACCAACTCCAACCTGGTCAGTCTCTCCTCATACGTCAGTCCCGCCATCCCCTGAATCAGCCTGGTAAGCCTTCACTGCACTCCCTCAACAGCAAAAGTATCCTTCCTCAGAAAAGGATACCAATATTGCACACAATATTCCAGGTGTGGCCTCACTAACACCCTCCAGAACTGCAACAACACATCCCTGCTCCTGTACTCAATACTTCTCGCAATGAAAGCCAACATTCCATTCGCCTTCTTTACTGCCTGCTGCACCTGCATGCTTATCTTCAGAGACTGGTGCACAAGGACACCCAGGTCCCACTGCACACTCCCATTTCCCAAGTTACAGCTATTCAGGTAGTAATCTGCCTCCTTATTTTTGCTTCCAAAGTGAATAACCTCACATTTATCCAAATTATACTGCATTGATTCGCCCACTCACCAACCTGCCCAGATCATGCTGAAGGATCTCTGCATCCTTGCCACAGTTCATTCTCCCACCCAACTTGGTATCATCTGCAGACTTTGAGATGTTACATTTTGTTCCCTCATCCAAATCATTACCATCTTCCCTGTTGACTTTTCCCCTCATATTTATCCCTGACTCTGTTATTTACTTAAAACATATGACATTGCTATTATCCTTATGGACATGTGGAGAGACACAAACAATGCTGAGAAGTATCCTCTCTATTGACTACATGGTGGACTAGTCACCTTAAATGCAGCAAATGAGGAGTCTATACTTGATTTGGGGCATTTGCACGCACTAAATAAATAAATAAATAATGGATAAAAGTACAATACTGCCGAGAAATTCAACAGGGCTAGCAGCATTGGTGGAGATAGAAACAGGGTTAACGTTTTGGGTCTGATATGACTTGTAACCTTTTCACTGGATTTTTTTTGGAACAGGAATCAGGCCTCAATAATAGGCCATGGCCACCTTGAAGAAAATGCCAAGGTTTAAAGGGTTCCTACAGGTGTTGGCACTCGGTTGGAGTTCTACGACAGCCACTGCTCCTTGGAGCTCAAAGTCCCCAACATTTCAGTTCACAATCACACCAGGGGTCACTGTCTAGATTTTGGTAAGCTCTGTGTAAAAACCTCAGCAACTACCTAGTAAAGGTTTACTGTTATCCACATTTTCAGGCAAATTTCATTTTAAATACACTCAAAAAAGATCTTTTTATGTATGTACCTGCTCTAAGGACATGGCCTCCATTATTTCTAAATCAACCATAATTGACCCTTCTGTATTGGCAATGCCACTGGTTACCTCCTTGATTCTCTCATTGTACTCCTGAATTTCCTTTGGTGTATAGTTACCACCATTTGCAAATAACCTAAAAGACAAAGCATTACACAACAAAACAAGATTTTTTTACAATCAGGAAAATAATTTAATAACTCTGTTCCTTTTGATAGATGTGTCCACCTGCCCAACTTCTACTAGCACCACTTAATACTTCTCTAATTGCCCATTTACCCCATAATATTGGATATTTCGAAGCCCTCCTGAGAAGGTTTATTCCTCAACTTGGTTACCCCTGTTAGCGATAGTAGGAACTGTCGATGCTGGAGAATCTGAGATAACAAGGTGTAGAGCTGGATGAACATAGCAGGCCAAGCAGCATCAGAGGAGCAGGAA